AAACTTAAGTAGCACATGGTGAAACAGTTTGGGGTCCCTGCAACAGAAGCAAGGCACAGACCTTTATAAGAAGAGAGGTCATATGGAAAATGGGATTACTGTTTCATAGACAAGCTCCAGTAGGAATTAAAAGGGGTTAACATGTGCAGATAGTGTACATGCATCAGGCCATGTATGTCCAGTTCAACACTGGGATTTCTAAAGCTCAGTTTCCTGTTTAGTTGTTTGCTTTCCTAGAGGCCTTTTAGTGCATCTCTTATGTTTTTGAAACATCTTTTTAATATTGAAAAATTTCCCTTGCTTCTATTTTTCAATAGACTGGGATCAGATCCAGACCATAGACTCCTTACTCAGGAAAGGTGGCTTTAAGGCTCCAATTACCAATGATTTTAGGAAAACAATTAAACTCACCAGGTAAGTTGATGTATTTGTCGTCTTTTAATTTTGCTTTATAGCGTTTTGTGGATAATTTAAAGTATTTGTGCTTGATGTAAGTCTTCAGCCTCTTTCAGACGAGACATGTAATGTGAAAGACCAAACCAGAAATGCCATGTGTAATGGGATGAAGCACAATATGTTTGGTCCAGGCAGGATCAAAGTTGGCATTTTCTGAGAGAAGGGTCACTGGTTTTAATATTACCATCTATATGAAAGATCAGAAGCAGAACCTTTGAAAGTTAAAAAGGTTGATTTTTCAGTATCTTTTCAATGAACTTCCTTTTCTCAGTGTGGTCATCTGTGGATGCTGGAGCTATTTGTAGGTGACAGCTGTCTTCAAACCACACTTGAATTTGGCTGGTTTTCAGAATTTGCTTGCTTTTCTATACCCCCAGCTGTCTTATTGGTTTCTGCTCCCTTTATGTTAGTAAAAATTGGGACATTCTGGTTTTGTATAGAAACATTAATTTATCAGGTCGTTTCTTACCTCTGGAGAAATGAGGTGGGTGTGCAGGGTTTTTTTTAACAGAAGAGGACAGGACGAAGGTTTTCATTAAAATCTGGCATAACGTGGTCTTAGTGCAACTCACAACCACTTTGTTTATCTGTTGTGTAGTGTGCTTTAGAAAAACCTGGAAAACTCTGATCTCTAAAGGAATTTCAAATTTTGTGAATTCTGATTTTACAACATAGACTGTCACTTATATGGTATAACTAACCTTTCTTTACACACCTCTCCATCATTTTTTTCACTAGCCTTTCAAATGTGAAGATAACCACAATAGTAAACAATAGTGAAATACTGATTATTTAGCCATTGTAACTGAGTCTTCTTCCAACAAACTTTTCATGCCATTTTTGCCCCCTGCAAGTGGATAAAAAAGAATACAAATTGATCATTTGTTTCATGTGTGCTACTTCAGGCATCCCTTAATTATGATCACCTTGACTAGGGCTCAGCTTTTGGGACACTGAAGCTAATTCAAGCTCAGATGGGTTATTGAGACTGCTGCATGAGGCAGTACCAAAGGCAGTGCACTCCTCTTGTTCGTCACTGGCTGTGAGCTGAAGGGTGAAGTGATGAATGGGTTTTGTTTAGTCCCTCCATGTGTGTTGACATTATTTTTCTGATGCTGTTCCCACAGGTACCGCAGTGAGAAGGTGACAATCAGTTATGCAGAGTACATGGCCTCCCGCCAGCATTGTTTCCAGAATGGCACTCTTCATGCCCCCCCCCTCTACAATCATTACTCCTGACACACGGCTGCATGACCAGTCCCACTCCCCGGTTGCTGCCAACGGCTACGATATCATTGGGGCAGACGCCTCCTCTTCCTGGTCCAGTTACTTCTATTACTGCACCATTTTATGATGCTAGCTTCCGTTGCCAAGTCTGCCTTCCTGCTGACCTGGGGGGAGGATGAGAGCGTGACAGGACTTCAGGGGCCCAAGCCTTATCTCAGCCTTCCCTCTGAGTGGGGGTTCAGTTGGATTGGGGCTCCATGCCTACGAACTGTCGTGAGGTGCAGAAGACCTCTCGGAGTGAAAGTGCTGCTTCAGACTGATCCATTCCTGGGTGTTACTGACACTGTGGAAACTTGAGTTGCTTGTTATGGAAGCCCCCCAGATCAAGTAGGAGCATTCCCCTGGCAGCCTGGGCAACGGAGTCCAACAAAACATTTTTTAGGTTCTTTTTAATTTTTTTTAACTCCGGTATCTGTTGTGTACTGAGAGCTGATTGCAGTCCCCACGCATCACAGGTGGACATCATGACACTGGGGAGGGTTGAACACCTGGATGGCACCCCATCCTCACCAACAGAAAACACTTAGAGATGTGAAAAATGAATTCATTATTTAAATAAACCCTAGAAGGCTTTAAGGCTCAGATACTTGGTAGGTCGAATTCTTTAGAAATTCTCTTGGTTTAGTTTTCTGGATTTAAAGACAGAGCTTGGTGATGAAGCCTGCTATGAAACAGCATGCTGTTGTGTCTGTCAGAGAGCAACATGGCACATGCTGTGTATGGAGAGGAAAAGGTACTTGTGTATCCCTGGACAGTCTGTTAAGACCAAGTTTTGTTTCCAAATATTTGTAGCAGATTGGATTAGGGCTGGGGAGGGGTTTGCATGGCACTGACTGTAGTCATACAATGAGACTAGTGACTGAAGTTTGTTTAATTTAAGCTAACTGTCTTGGGGACCTTCCTATTGCTAGGACAGCCACTTTCTCCAGTGTGACTACCAATCTTCAGGGCAGGAAGTGTTCCAGTTCGTAGCAGGCCTATGGAATAGAGGTGTGGAGTTTCACTGCTAAGATCTATCAGGTTAGTCATACCACAGCAAGGCAGTGAGTGGGGAAACCTTTACTACCCAAACTGGGTGACACTCGTGTGCATTCTGTATTTCTTCTCCCATGGTTGATGATCACAAGAAATACTCTCTTCTGAGAGGGAGTTAAGTTACCCATTGTTATTCTGCAGCATCATTGAGGGATGTCATAAACTCTAAATTATGACACTCTCTCAATAAGGTAACTGGACATCAAAATATAGTTTGGGGTGGTGTTGGTTGGTTTGTTTTCCAAGTTTCCGGAGGGTCCGTAATGATTGGGAAAGCAGATACAAGTGCACAGGAGAGTCATGGCTGTTTGGTTGCACGTATCTTTAGAGCCTGCTTGCGTGGGGTAATTGGCTGGTGTTTGAAGCCTGAAATTCTGCCCTGGCATGGCAGGGAATAGGGCTGGTGGGAAGCTAAGAACTGCAGGCTGCTGCTCCTGGTCCTAAGGAAGCAATGCACAACTGTGCAGTTTTGCTTTGTGCTGATGTAACATTCTGCTGGAGAAGAGAGTTGTGAGGGAGGTTACTCTGCCTAACGGTGCAGTATCGACCCAGCTTTCGCCCTGTACTGGGTCATTCTTACAAATTGCCACTTTTCCCTTGTGGTGTCATTGGAAAGCAATTGAAGATGAAGGGATTGTTCATAACTTCCTGCTGCTGAGAATAAACTGGTCTTGTTACAAACCACTCCAGTTTGTAATTACTCTTCCAGGTGCCATGTAGTGATGGGGGAGGGTGGGGTCAGCTCTGGACATACCACTTACCTTTCAGCTGTCAAACAGTATGATACATAGGGCTACACTCATTACTGTTCAAGTGTTCTATGTTAGAATTTAATTTCTAAAAGGTTTAAAAAAAGCAAAAAAATGGTGCTAAAACTTCACCCCTGAGCACGCTCGGTGAGACTGGTCATGCAGGCGTACAGTGCCAGGCTTTTCAACTATACTGTTTCTTTTTCAGATGTTTGCCCTGTTCTGTGTCTTCAACAGTGTATAGTGTTTTCCTGATTTCAGTTTCTTTGACTAGGGATGACTAAGGGGTGGGGTGGGGAGGGTTAGCTGTAATTTTTTTAAAGAACAGAATTTTAGGATTGAGTGACTTGGTTGGTTTAAGCCTGAAGTGGGACAGATGGTTTGGGACTGGGGAAGTCTTATCCTCTCCCACTTCTATTTCCCCACTCAGTCTGTTTAAAAAAACAAAAACAAAAATGCCTCTAAATATGTACTGTGTTCTTGTCTTGTTGCAGTGAGAAGAGAAGCTGGCAGGTCAGAAATACTGGTCTGCTGCCTAAGGAACAGGCCCTCCCAGCTTTTGTCCCATAAGGGTCCAGCTATAAAATCAGTTAAAAACTGTGTCAGTAGCTAAGTTAGCTCAGAGAAATGTATGACAAGGACAGGTGGTCTCAGGAAATAATCCCATTTCTAGATCATTACACGGCAGCTATGCATAAGGATGAAAGAGGTGAACTAGAAACAAAATGTACTTTGAGTTGTCTCAAGATGAAGGCAACCAAAATCAGTGACCAACTGCTACGAGTAGTTGCTTGGCTGGGGACAGCAGGTTAGAACTACTTCTCAAAGCAGCTGTTACCTGGTTAGATCTGGATTAACTCATCCTTAGAAGCAAGTGCCTTTTGGTCTAGAAGGGCTTATTCTCATGACAACCACAACTGAGAAATAATCTCACTGCAATGATGAAATGTCTTTGTTTTACAGTAACTACAGGAGAATGTCTTTGATCACTGGAGTCTGTCAGTGTTGGAATGTTTCCACTGTGAGGTTCTTAATTTTTTTTTTGTATTGTTCAACAGTCAATCTCAACTGAGGCCATTTCAGTTTGGGAACGTTTTGTAGTCAAAATATCACATATCTACAATTTATCAGAACAAAAAAAAAATCTATAAGGAAATCTAAGAGTTCATTTTAACCTTTGCACAGAATAATTTTTTTCATAGTACATTAACAAACCTCTGCAATCTTCACTGACCATTAGTGCTGTCTTTCTGTTTGTATTCTGGAAACTACATGTTGTTTTGTTGGGGTTTTTTTGGTTAATTTATTTCCTTAAAGCAGGAGACCTCTTTTGACCTTCAGTGCAGAGATGTCAGACCAATTCTTTGTATTACACTTGGTTGCCTCCTACCTATATAATAACTTCTGAGTGTAAATAATTGAACTCTATCCTCTAATGAAGTATTGTAGAGAATAAATCATAATAGATAAAGATTATTTGTACTGTCCTCTTTATGTGGGTTCTCACAGCCTTTATGGGGGATAAGATGAAATCATTCTCATCTAGAAAGACAAACAATATATTACAGGTCTGAATAGCAAACCTGTAAATTACATCGAATGTTCAAAACCAGGGAGGTTGCCAGAGTGGGATGGCAGCTGTCTGGAAGCACAGAAACAGTCAGACAGGCTCTCTAGAAGGAAGCAAGCTAAAATAGAAGGAAAATTAAAACCAACTACTAAATATGTTTCATTAATAACGGCATAGCAGTGTCTTTGTATCCTGAAATAATGTTTGCTTGACAATAACTTTCTATCATGATGGTATTCCATGACATATATAAAGCACATACGTACAGAGTACTCTAAATATGTCTGAAACTATCAAAATTGTTCTTTGGGTTTTTGTCTTCTAAAAGGAACTAATGAGAACAGATTGTCTATACTCTGAGGCTGTAGTCTTAAGGTAATCTAAAAATATTATTTCAGAAGAAACACCTACATCTTTCTAGGTTCTTACAATTTGAATGTTTGTTTTTGACAGGATTAACTGATTTGGGGAATAGTTTTGAATTATGCCTCTGGTTTACCTGATTTTTTCCATGCACTGTCAGGTTATTGTTAACTTTTTATCTGTGACAGATGTATAGTTGGAGATCCTACATTTTCTGCTTGTGGCTCTTGGGAAGGGCAGCCCTGGATGTCAATGAACAGTCATAAACCCCCAAAGAAAACACCAACCAAACGAAGGGGTTTGGTTTTGACCAGGTTTTGACTTAAAATTGACCTCAGCACAACGACAAAGCAAAAATCTATTTTCAGAAAATATGCTGCTGGTACTAGTCAGGCTAGAATGTAAATCCCCTAGGCAATGTGAGGAGGGGTTGAGGAGGACTCTGGGGCTAATGGGATTTCCAGGTGATTTCCTTTTTATTTCTGAAGTTACCCATATCACTACCATCATGTGTCCAGGGAAGTTATCAGGTATATCCTCTGAGCTTTGTTGTCAGGAATACATTGACTTTTTGTACATTTTTGTGTCATATGCTTTTCCTTACTTGATTTTTTTGGTTTCCTATTGAATCAGTCAGACATAAAATCTTTGTCTGGTGTCCTTCATTAGAAGTTCTTCCGTGCATGTTGCATTCTGTGACCACAGGAACACTCACTCAGCAGCTCACAGGGAGGATGAGGCCAGGTAGAAGGGTGTACATATGACTGCACACTGAAATAGGTCAATCCAGGCTAAATATAAACCAGGATAATTCTCCCGGAAACACTTTCTTCTGTTGTTAGTCCTGTTTGAAATAAGAAACAAAATTAATTACTCATTTGGCACTCACTTCTTTCTAGAACAAAATTAAAGACAGCTTAGGAGGAATATCTGCAAGACACTTCAAATGAAGGATACTTGAGCATTTTTATTCTAAACACAAAAAAAAAGAATTTTATTTTACCTGTGATTGAGAAATGCCATTTCTTAAAGATAAAAATGAAAACCACAAAAAAATGCAAACTTTCCCCTGAGACCCAATAAGTCAATATTTATCCTGACAGTATATAGAGCAGTACCATAGGAAAGTTCCTGAACTGGTTCTTCCATGGTCTGGGAAAAGATGACTTGTGTGTATGTTTGATATCACTCAGAAGACACAGAAAGCATAGAAGAGTGTTGTTACCATGTTCCTTAAAACAAGTACATACTTCTGCAAAATGAACAATATCCAGATTATTGAACCATAGTTTTTTTTTCTTTTCTGTAGTCAGCTAGACTGCTGTTATAATCAGATTAATTCTGGCAGAAATCATGTGTGATACAACCAGTTGATAGTATGTCTAGATGTCATACATGTATTTAAAAACTGAACAGATCATGCAGTTTTGCATTCAGAGGCTTACTATGACTTTATTACTGGATATTAATATAATTTTACTTTGCTCATATATGTTCATTCCTTATGGTTTTGGAGATATACTTTTAAGTGGAGTAAAAATAAAGGCAAAATGGTGTGAAAACCTAAACCTGAAGTTATACTTTAAGAACACAGATGAAAATCACACGTCTTGTGCAATACTGGCTATGGTGGCACAGGGTGTTCTCAGTGGGTGGTTATATCCACAAGGATCACACTGGCACTCCACAGAAAATGTGGAATTACTGTTTGAAAACTTTAAAAACTGCAAGGAAAATCACATTTCTGCTGCTGCTGGATTAGAAGGAAAGCATATTACAAAGTGGGTTTATGCTAATAATAGAATATCCTTGTTATTAGCTCTTCCTACATTTAATTACATGGAGGTATTTAGCTGAGTATTTTGTAAGATCTGTGGAGGTGCAATTAGTGTTTACAGGCTCTGTGTTTAAACTATAGCTACATAGAAATTACCATAATAGGTCTGTCTAACAGTCTGCTACCTAATAACATGTCTCCAGCAAGGATCAATGCTTTTTGCCCTGGAATATGGAATATTAGAGGCTCTATTCATGATAAATTACATTTGGCCAAGTATTCTTCTTTTTTTTAATCAGTTTATTTTAGGATGTGACTACTAAAGCTGCTCAAAAGTTCCTATAGTTTTTATTTTAATCAAGCTCATCTTCCTTTTCTATGCGTATTTTGTTGACAAATGCTGAAACAGTCATTATTAGTGAGGAAAAAGCCAGAGCATTTTAAAAATAACAAAAAAGTCAGGTACTCTGCTATGTTTGGTTTGTTGCAGCAGCTGAACAATACTTCCTGTGGAGTTTATAAGTTCATTTTTTAAATTCTTAAAAAACAAAACACATCAGTGATAATGGACGTAATCTTTTATGATAGCCTCTTACACTGTACTTATAAACTCTTGCAAGATTCTGGCTCTCTTAATTTAGTTTTTGTATACTTAAGCAGAATGGATCCCTGGGGGAAAACCAACAGGGAAATTAGTAACTTAAACCTCAGTGAGCTACCTACTGCTCTGAGAATCATGATGTTCTGAGCTGATGGGTTATTTGAGTCAGAATTCCAAATGATGTTAAATGCTTCTCTGGTCAATCTGGCATGGATTTCCTTGCTTTCTTGTAAACCTAATTGAAATTGTTTAATTTGCCAGATGTTCCCCGAGATATTTCCATTCCATTTCTTACTGAATGTCTTTCCGCTTGTACCACTTAGCAAATTACTTTCCATTCAGTTTCTCTGCTATGCTCATTATCCAGATAACAAATATTAGAAATCTATTATTTGACCTCTTCATATTCCTGTAGTTTATTTTTAATGCATTCCTTTTCCCAACAGTTCACCTAGGCACAGATGCAGTTCAGGAGAACAGGAGTGGTTTCATCATAAATCCTCCAACAGTCTATTTTTGCCTTTCTTTAGGGGCGCAGCATGACATAGTAAGGGCTGATAAGATTATTACTTTAAGAGTCTTAGGCTGGTTAGGCACTTACATGTGAGCTCTCCAGGGAAAACACTACTCCATAAGTTATTTTGTTGGCAGCGCTGGGAGAACTATCTTCATTTTCAGCCTGCCTATAACTTTTAGGGGTCTGTAGATTGCTTCTGGATAGTCTGAAAAAGTAACCTTCCTTAGGAAGTGTGTTATGATATCAATACTCCTTCATTATAGACCGAGGTCTATTAATCACAGTGAGCTAGACAGAAATTCTGGCACAGACAGTCACAGTTTTCCTAAGGCTGGGCTTTGCTGTCTAGCTGGAGGATGTTCTGGTGGCAAAACGGAGCAAGCTTCAGCTTGCTGATCCACTGATGTGAAGGTGCATCTGCTGCCTTGGTGCCCTCAGGTGCTCCTGGGCAAATGGGTGCTGCTGTGCAGTCTGGGGAGGGGGACCAGCGCAGTTTTGAGCTCTTTGGTTATTTCCTAAAGGACAGAGCAGAAGGAGAAGGGTTTGCTCATGTGAAGGACAAGCACTGTTTCCTTCAGTGTTCCTCCACATCCTTCTCTTGGGCCCTGGTTTGTGCCTTGTAAGATTCTGGGCTCGTGATCACAGAATCAATTGGGTTGGAAAAGACCTTTGTGATATCGAGTCCGACCTGTAACCGAACACCGTGTCAACTAGACCATGGCACGGGGTCCCATGTCCAGGCTTTCCTTAAACACCTCCAGGGACAGTGACTCCACCTCCTCCCTGGGCAGCCCATTCCAATGCCTAATATCCCTTCTGTGAGGAATTTCTTCCTAATGTCCAACCTAAACCTCCTGGCGCAGCTTAAGACCGCGTCCCCTCATCCTGTCCATGGTTGCCTGGGAGAAGCAGCCGATCCCCACCTGGCTACAACCTCCTGTCAGGGAGCTGTAGAGTCCTGGTCTGATGATGTCTTCGTCTGTCACAGCTATTTGCCCCGTGTTCACATAAACAACGCTCAGCACCCCAGCTCTTTCCCTCTCTGAAAGGAGCTCATTGCTAAGCGAGCTTAAACACACCTCTGAGGGCTGCTTCGTGGGGGAAGGGGGGAGGGCTGCTTAGGCGCCCTGTCCCCGCTGTTTCCCCTCGGTTCTCCACAGCGGCAACTCCGCTTTTTTCTATTCGGCAGCGCTCGGGGTAGAACGGACCCTCGGCCCCTCACACCGGGGAGAACCAGCCTCCCCCCGCCCCTCACACCGGGGAGAACCAGCCTCCCCCCGCCCCTCACACGGGAGAACCGCCCTTTCTCGGCGCAGCTGTCCTTCCGCTGCGGGTTTCCGGCGATGGCGGCGGGCGGCAGCGACCCGCGGGCGGCGGACGTGGAGGAGGACGCCTCGCAGCTCGTCTTCCCCAAAGGTGCGGGCGGGGGTCGGGGTGCCGGGCCGGGCGGGGGTCGGAGCTGGCGGCGGCCTCCTGTGAGGGAACGAGCCTGGCCGGGCAGCTCAGTGGGATGGGAGCGCTGCTCAACGCCCCTGACCCTCCTCCACCGGTTACAGAGCCCCGAGCCTTAAAAACCATGATAATAAATCATTTATATATGTTTAAGGACCTCGTGGTTGCTAGGATGTGGCAGTTTTTATGTGGGCCACTGTGTGTGTGTACGAGATTAAAAAAAAAAAAAATCCTGTCAGGCTGCAGTGAAACGATCATTGCATTTGGTATAACCCTTGCTTTTTCACTGATGTTCCTCATCATACGAATTCTTCCTGTGACGGTGACGAGGCCCTGGCACAGGTTGCCCAGAGAAGCTGTGGCTGCTCCATCCCTGGAAGTGTCCAAGCCTTGGAGCAACCTGGGATAGTGGAAGGTGTCCCTGCCCATGGCAGAGAGGTGGAATGAGATGAACTTTAAGGTCTTTTCCAACCCAAACCATTCTGGGATTCTGTGACTACTACTGCGTTTAGGAAACAAGCTTTCCAGAGCCAGAGTTGGTAACCACAGACTCTCACGGTCTGTGTATTTTTTTCAGAAAATTGTTCATTTTAAATTCCAGAGGTGTATTTACACCTCCAAGCCACCCTGGAAAAGAAAAGGAATAAAAAAAGAAAAATGGGCACTGTGCTGCATTTTTGAATTATGAACAAAAGTGTAGCCCTGAAAGACTGGGGTTTTTTGTATTCTTTAATACTAAAATCTGTAGCCTGCTCATGTTCAGCCTAAGCTAACCTACTGCTCAATGCAAAATATGGTTTGCCAGTCCCTTTCTAGCACTGCCCTGTATCTGCTTGTATAAAACAGTGCTGACAGGCACCCTGGGATGCAGCCTTTGACACTGCTGCTTTTGAACAGCTCATACTGCTGATATTGAAAGACCTTCTTATTATTGGAACTCATATAATAGTTATGGTGATGATGAATGAAAACAAAGCTGGTTAAAAAGGGGGGGAGGGATCTGTTAAGATTGGTTAAAAGTTTTTTTCTGATAATGAAAATGGAGTAGGTCAATTAACTTTTCAAGTAAACAAAACCTTTTTTAAAATATTCAAAACATCCATATTTATTTCAATAAATCAGGCTTCTGAAGGCCATAGGCATCACTTCTAAATTTTTTTGAGTATTACAGTTCTAAATTTTTTTTTCTAAAGCATTTCATGCATTCCTTAAGTTCTGCCAAAAAAGGGTGAGGAAAACTTACTGCAAAACTGTGAAAAATTGTAATGTTAGGGCCATAAGTGTAAAATATGACCTCAAAAGACGAACATCTCGGATTGTCACTTGAAGTGGTGTAATTTTTATCAGCATTTTCAGTATGAA